GAGGGGGGTGGATGGGAGCCAAGTTGAAGTGAACAGCAGTGGACAAAAATATACGGGATTAGGAGAGATGCAAAGGATTAGTTCGAGTCTACACAAATTAACCAATTGAATACAATACAATATAATATTAGATGAATACAATGAGAATTTTAGAATCAAAACTCAGACAAATGAATATAGACTAACAATATCTGCTCATGTTGTAGTTGCTCGACCACGATTTTTACATCGAACGAAATGAATGTACAGCGATTTTTTTCATTTAACTCCCATTTATTGAATATTTAAAGATACAATTTTCCGGAAGGAGAAAGTGACCAATCAAAGGACTGCCATTCAACAAACACACAATGGGGAAAGTCAGGTGGTGGTGGTGGTAGTGGGATTCGAGCACACATCTTCCGGGGTGAGAATTTGGTGACGTAACCATTGGGTTACCACCACCCCACCATTGCCATTGCCGGAACATGTGAAAACAAATAAGGACTGTGCAAATAGATTGGAAAACTGCACCAGCAAGAATTATTCTCTTTAGCAGCCGTTCAAATGACCGACTCTAACTCTCGGTCAATGATCCGATTTAAAACTTCCTCAACGCCCGACACCTCACCGAACCGCAATCCAATCACAGACCAAACTGATCATTTTTAAGCACAAGATGGGGAACAGATGGATTGCGTATTTTGGTTATCGGATAAAAAGATTGTGTGAAAGCTGCGACTTGTCAGGTGGACATTAAGTATGTTAGATTGGACGGAAAATTTTTCGCGCTTGGCTTGTTCGCTCTCATCGTATGCCGCATCGCGCAAAATGGATAATCGTACTTTAAAATTTTCTTGATTGACCGAACTTAGCATTTCGCCTGTGACAACACGAGACCGACCGGAAGTCGTATTGTCATAGTAGTCATGTGTAATCGTAGATTATATGCATAGAACGTATTGTTATGACTGCTGCGAGTGTATATATATATATATATAAAAGAAGAACCAAGAACCGCGAAACCGGTTGTGTGCCTCCAGGGAAATTTTGTCTAGTCATTCACATACTACTTATTATGAAATATATATACTGAAATTACAAAAATAATGATTAGATGCACGAGCGCCACTGTTTGTGACATCCAGCCATATCGTTCAGTGTCTGTAACCATCGGTAACTATAATCTCGGGGTCCCCAGCCAGGGAGCCTAAAGCGGCCTATTTGACCCAGTGTCTCGGTTAGGGTTTTCATACGCTCATGCCAGGTCTTGGTTTGACCGCCTTTGATCTTTTTCCAACCGCTACCTGCCTCGGCGAACATCGCTCGCCGTGGCGTAGCACATGTCCCAGCCAGAGAAATCTATGGAGGTCGACTACCTAAAACGCGCATGGATACATACAAATAAACGCTATTTCCTGTCACGTATGTATCTCTTACCGACCCACATTATTTTGTGAACCATGTGCACGTGCTGTATTGAGTTTGTGAAAACGAGCTCGTTTGCAATTTGGACTTGTTCTTTTTCTTTTATTATTTTTTAAGTAAAGTCTTCAAGAAAATGACTGTCAGTGCACATGCATGTCATCCTTGATCTTTCGTGCGCACTTGAGCGCGTTGGGAAATGACAGAGAGCATTGTGATCTCGTAGACAAGTGGATAGATGGATCAATGGATGGACGGGAACGACGGAAGGTCAATTAATGTCTTGGGCGTGCCTGATATTTGAAAAGAATATAACTGCAAACTTTTCACTTACAATCTATCTATCTACCATCGTGATTTAAGTGTGCTAGAGCGGGCAGAGTGAAGGTCTCGATGGGCCCCAGTTACAAATCTTCAAATGCACGCACCTCCACGCATTTGGGCTCTTAACTAGAATGACGTCGCTGTCCCATTCTCACACAAACTAACAAAGTCAAAAGAGGAGACCTTCACTCAAGCAATTTACCCAAGTGTATCAGGTAAAAGCAGTAGACCGCATGTGTCACTGGACCCCAGTCTGAATGTTTAAAGGGCATGAGCGTTGGGACCCGCATAAGAAGTTGAATGAGAGGAGTTCAAATGTGACTGCTTTACAAGATGGTGAAAACAGGTTATGCGAACCGATTGCAGTAGACTGTCTAGACAAAAAACTGACACCCATAAGTGTAATTGTGACCGATTTCAAGTGATCGTCGGGGTAATCAATCAGCAAAGTGATGTCTCGGCTACAGATGGATAATTAGGTTAATAATAGGAAGTTTCGAGAAGTCAAGACCATGAAAATTGGACTGAAGAAAATATTTTGTTCTCAAAACGATTTAGATACAAATTACTTCAGACAAAACATAAAATTCTATAACTTTAGTTATATATGTTTCCAGAAAAGGACACAAGCAACGATTATAAAAATGAATAAGTAACAGAAATTAATTAAAATAGACCTTTGCTATCTAACAAATGAAAACAAATGACAATAGATCAACGAAACGAGAGAATGTATGTATGTATGTATGTATGTATGTATGTATGTATGTATGTATGTACGAGTTCTTAACAAACAACAAAAGTTGTTTGCAAGTTAAGAAATAGTACATCCTAACTCGATGTCATTAAAATAAATCTGCCAAACAACTATTTGAAAAAAATAAAGAAGCTTTAACGGATTGTTAATTGGTGGCTGTATTGGGATTAGCTTTGAAGTCCAGGAAGTTTGTCGTGATGGCAATTAAAGGAACCAGTTACTATGAAGCAAAGTGAAGGGATATAGGTTCCTTGAATAGGAATTTGATAAGAGAAATGGACAAATTTCACCTCATCAATACTCAAAAGACGAGGAAACAGATCGTAGTTTTCCCCCAAACTGAAAGTTCACGATCTACTGAACCTGAAACAGATGTTCATGTCACCAATGAAACAAAAATGACCTAGGAACCAAAAAATGCAAAATCGGCACAGTTAAGAAAAGCACAAATTACCGTTTATCCCCTCCCCAAAGATTGTTATTTTAATGATAAGCATACGTCATAGATCAGCAATAAAACAAAGCATTGTAATTAAAATAATTATAATTATAATTAAAGCAAATCGATCATATTGATCAAAACATAATATGTTCGTTTATCAAAGTGTATCAATTGGCGGAAATTGCAGTGAATCAGAGCGCGTGGCTTATGGCATGAGAAGTTTACACGCTGTAACACATGCAAACGGAAGCACAATAGACAACGTATCATCCAGCGTTGTATTTAATACAGCGATTAGAAAGATATCAACATTTGTGGCAGAAGTACGGTCGTTTCCGATAGCTTTTGCAATTGAATTTGGCCGGACATCATTTCAAGATCTCTGAGTATCATTTCAGGATGTCTAGTAATCATTTCAAATTGTCTGAGTATGATTTCAAGTGAAATTTGTTGTACTGTGAAGGGTCACATGTATACCGCCAAAAATCTGTTGGTCCTAATTTCTTGTTCCAAGACTTGATCATTACGTACCGAAGAGCTAAACTGTTATCAATGCTGGAATATCTATATGTCTCTTCCGCAAGTATGCTTCCCCTTACTGGTGCTAGGTGACATGTATCCTCGAGTTTGTACACAACTATGATAAATAAATGATTTTGGTGGAATCGGTTTTCGGCTTGCTTTGTATTTGGAATTGATTATGCTATGGAGGTAAGCAATGGCTCAAGCGTTGATCGTGCATGATTCACTGACATCAGCGGGGC